TCCTTATGTAAGATGCTTCCCCTACGACTGATTATCCATAATGCATGAGGTCTTGTATTTGGTTCATGGTGACACATCCTACCTTCCTCCACAGCCTTGCTGTATCTGGGCAGACCAGAAAAAAGCTCAAGAAAAAGAAGAAGCTCATGAAGAACATGAATTTCATCGCTACCAGCTAACTTGGTTTAAATGCCATGCATTTTTATTTTTTATTTATATTTTTTATTTTTCAGTTAAAAAAAAATATTGCCCTATGAGCTCCCTGCTCATTTGCAGTGTCATCTGTTGGCAAATCAGCAAAGTTTCCCTTTGATGAGTGAACTTAAAGATTTACTAATCAATATGTTTTAAATGAACATTTTAATTTCATTAACTTTGGATCAAATGTCTACTGTATATATTTGTAAGGGGACTTACTCTGCATGTCCCCTCATGTTTTACACTACTGTACATTCATGCAATGTCAGCAAAATTAAAGAATGGGAAAACCTCCCATTAATTAATTAAAGCTGCTTTGGTTTTGAGTTATGTATTTTTGGTGTTTTTTTGTGAAACAAGCTGCAAACACTGTATAGCTTTAAATTAAATTAGCTAAATCAATAGCATTAGCATTCATCGTGGCTTTTACTCAGGCGTAACTACCAGTGAAGGTGGCTTTATGTTGACACTTCTGGTTCTTTTTGCCAATTGAGAGAAATTGTAGCTTTTTGAAATCTATTACGTCTCTGATAACACGAGTGACTGTGCATAGCCTGTAACAACAACATGACAGAGTCATAGCTCATTCTTTTGGTTTTCCAGCCCACAAAATTTCCCATTAACCCAGTTTCCAGACACAGAAGAAACAGGTTCAAGTCCGACCCGTGGCCTTTTGATGCATGTTATCCCCCTCTCTCTCTCTCTCTCTCTCTCTCTCTCTCTCTCTCTCTCTCTCTCTCTCTCTCCCCCTTTCCTGTCTATCTTCAGCTGTCCTATCTAATAAAAACAGAAGACAAGCTCTGATAAACCCTCTGTATACTACTTGCCAAGCACCAAAAGACAGGCAAATGAAGTTGGAAACTAAATGCTAGCTGGTGTATGTAGTGGAGCTACTAGCAAGCTTCAGGGGACCTAAAAGGAGAATAAATATTCAACTTACATTTGTTGTGGTCACAAACAGGACTCCAAATTAAGGCTAATGTATAAAATGTAAAAACATTTTTGTGTTTAAAGCTTCTTGTGTTGCAAATGCCAAAAATGATCATCACTGTCGCATAAACAACATGTGAATACATTGTTTTTCATTGCAGTGAAACATGCAGTTTGCCAGCCATTACCAAGCCTCATCAGGTTTCACTACTGCCCTTATAACAAAAGAGGACATGTTGCTAAAGAGGCTATACTCCATCATGCAAAATATAGTAGTGGGTAGTGAGTAGAAAAACTATGTGTTGACATAAAAGTTGTTCAGCTAAAAACATCATAGTAACAATGAGAAGGGAACTGTTGTGGTAATACTCTGCAGACTCCGCAGAACACATGATGGTCCATCACATTACTAGAGACTGTCTGGTTATTATATTTCTCTCTGAGACACAGCCTCGGGGTGTGTTTGTACTTGATGGGGAAAGCAATGAGCCACACATTGACTTTCCACAGCCCATTTACCAAAAAATGTATTTAGCGAGATTTAGAAATAAACAGTTTTTTAATGGGGACTCTACTTGGTCTATGATAACAAGTTTAAAAAAACCTTTCTTTTGTTCTTATGAAAGTTTTTCCTAAATGTAGTATTGTGTGTGTGTGTGTGTGTGTGTGTGTGTGTGTGTGTGTGTGTGTGTGTGTGTGTGTGTGTGTGTGTGTGTGTGTGTGTGGTGTACTGAGACACTATTTTAGCAGCCAAATCATTTTTCCTGGAAGCGTTTGACTGCATTGTTTTCAGACTCCTGTTTGAAGTCCCACAAGTACTATACCAAAGTATGGGCAATGGATTGGCTGAACAACAGCTAAAAACAATTGATTAAGCACAAGGAACAAGCTGGGAAGACAAATGAAAAGAGTGAACCATTGAAAGAGAAATGAAATGTCAAATGACAGGAGGAGAAAAAAACAATGTGAACATTTCACATCCTGAATTTGAAACTAACTCTAAATTGTATACAGCGCTATGATCATAAGTTGGACTAGACACACTATCCGTATATTATCTATATGTGCTTATCTTTTGCAGGGGGCTGGTGCCAATCCCAGCTCACATTGGGTGAGAGGCAAGGTACACGCTGGAAGTGAACTGGAAGTTACCAGTTCATCACAGGGCACAGACACACTAATGGAGGATATACTGTTTACCAATCAATAGTCAGACTAATCCATATAATATTAACTCAAAGGCAAACTGCTTGTATTTCCACTTTAGTAGCATTTAATCCAAGCTTTGCAGCTTGCCGATTAATTATATTTGCTTTAGATTAATTCAGGCTACTATTTCAAGATTATGACAACACTTCCCCTTATAAAACTGTGATATGACAGTCTGGAGATATTACAGAAGCTCAGACACCATCAGTGAGCTGTCATCTCTCCCCACATCCTTGCAGGTGAAAGGTAATGGAAGCAGCTTTGCCTCACTAAAACTAGGTTTTACTTCGACATTTTTAATGTATTTTAACCATTGCCATTAAATTTTGTACAGAAATGTATGGCTCCTAGAGAATAAATCCTAATGACTTTGGTGGTCCTCTGACTTTTCATATAAAGCACTACCATGAGATTGACTTGATTTTGAGTGAAATAGTCTTGGCAACTATTGGATGGACTACCATGAAATCTGGTAGAGACATTTATTCACCCCTCTATTTACACATAGAGTAATAAGTCCAAATTCATCCAGCAAGGAAACATCAATTCCTATTGTTGATTTCATTACAAAATTAAATCATCCATAGAAGGACAAGATTAATGACATTGTTAGAAATAGAGTTTTATGGTCAATACTAGTCCCCTCTAACAAAGCATTTGTAATGAATGTATATAACTCATTGTTTTAACTCCTTTCCTACATGTGAAACAGCGAAAGACAAATAACTCTGCTGATTCAAAATAGCACTGAATCATTAACTGCCGCTTGGCCAAATATGGTGTTTGAAGCAGAATCATCAGAAGAGGAGAGTAACAAGTGGTAAACTCTGAAATCCTCCACTGAAAATGTCCTCTCGTGATGTTTCATGCTCAGGGTTCATTTTTATTTACAGAATATAAGCAGTTTAAATGCAAACTTTTGCACAGAGAGCAGAAGGAAAAACCTATGCACATATACATAAATGTACCCAATGTAAACAGAAATACACACACACACAGGAGACACCTTGGAGGATTAATTTCCATGAAAGTGGTCTTCGATGGACAGGCTGGAATGGCCTTGGTAACTGAAAGGCTGTCTTTGCCCACTACTGTGATGATAACAGAAAGACACTGCACACCGTGCACATACACAGCATTTGCATACACAGCCATACAGATCTGAAGTACTATAATCAGCACCATTCAGATTTTACCAGACAGCAGTCACAAGAGAGTTGCTTATAAAAATGGAACAATGCATAGGAAACAGCGCAGCAGATCAAGATGAACATGGAGACCTCCCGTGTCTCCTCTGTAGTTTCCCCCATGACAGACCGAGAGGGGGGAGGCACGCAGACAAAGAGCATGGTCAATTATTCACCACATCTTGCTGCAATCCATTACACTGCATTTATTATACATCATATGGCCAGCAACATACCATGCAAGCCTGAGCAGCTACTCTCCCCTGGTGGAGTCAGAGAGGCTTTCCTGCGATACATCATATAAAACTCAACGCATTGGCACTGACATGAGCAAGGCACAGGCGGGACCACACACTGACAAAGGCACACGCACACATGCAAACAGCACACAGAGGCTCTAACAGATGCAAACATTATGTATGGCTGCTGCCTGTTCCATTACAGGAGTCACACAGGTAAACACGCTATAGCATGGAAAAGACACTTACACATATGTGTTGCCATTGTTAACCCTCATCAACACAGACAAGGACCATGCAGCAAACACTGGACTGCTGTCTGAGGCTTTGTCTTTTCAGAGAATTTACCATGCAATGATGAGAACAATTCTTGAGTGAATTTTTAGCCTTGCTTGCATCATGGCTCTATGAATGAACAGACTGTAAGGCCATCCACCACTTTCGTCCAGACTGATATTTATTTAACTACAGAATGGCTTTCCATGAAATTTTGCACGGGCATTCATGGTCCCAAGAAGATGAATGACTGGTCCTCTAGAACCGCTATTTTTTTTCAATGAAATGTCTCAACAACTATTGATGTAATTCTGTACGGATATTCATGGTACCCAAACGATGAATCCTAATCACTTTGGTCATCCTCGGACCTATCTACTGGATGGATTGGCACAACAATGTGTACATTCATGTTTCTCAGACAATGAATCCCAATGACTTTTGTGATCCCTTAACTTATCATCTAGTGGCACCACAAGGTTTGATAATTGTAAACTGTTGCAATAAAATTTGGTTCAGACATTCCTGGACCCTCAGGATTAAATATCAATGTAACTTAAATCATTGCTTAACTTTTTATGTAACACTGCCATCAAGTTGTCCAAAACTTCAGTTTATGACCAAATACCTGAAAAACTAATGACGTTACCATCAGCCTAAAGTAAACTATATGTGGTGTGTAGTGCTAATTAGCAGAGTGTGTTCACATGCTATGGTGAACAACTTTTTTAAATTTTAGCTTGATGCACCTATTTACCTTGATCACAGTGTTTGCATTTTTACTGAACAAGAACAGACTGAAGGGCGAATGGGTGAACAAATGGTTGAGTGTAACAGTGACATTCATTCACTTAATTTACAGCACTCCAGAATGACAGCATAATAAAGTGAAACAAGAGCCTTTTCTGTTATTGCTGGTTGACCATGATTATGTTACAACCAAAGTGTAGAGCACACTCACTTCCATACTGGTGAGATTACAGCGGTGAGTCCCAGCGAACCAGCCACTGGTGGAGCACTGGTCAATGTCCACATCCTGCAGGTTTACATCCACACGGACAACACCCCTGCCAGAGAGAAAGAAGGGATGAAAGAGGGAGGAAATGATGAGTAGAGTTAGGGTAAATAGTGAAAGGGAAATCATGAGAGAAGATGGTGCAAAGACGTTAAGATATTGAGATAAATGATATCAAGGAAGAGAAGAAGAGGAGGAATACATTTAAGATGGGAAGGAAGGTGAGAGAAAGTGAGACAAGGGAGAAAGGGAAACAGAGGGGAAAACGTGACGAGATTGTACGAGGTTAAGCAAATTGGTGTGAGGGAGAGGAGCGAGGAGGAGGAAGCAAAGGCGGGGAAGGCCAGAATGAAAGAGAAGACAATTAAAAAGAACAGGAAGAGTGATGCTCAGGGGAAGTAAGGTCAAGGGTGGAAGAAGCAGGGAATGTGGGGTGGTAATAGAAAGGAATGAATGAAATAGATTGAAAGTGGGAAAGAAATTAAGAGTGATCGGAGGGAAAAATGAATAGAGGGAGAGAGGGAGATAGGGAGATAGGTAAAAAAAAAAAAAGAAACAGAAGCAAGGTTAAAGTTTTAAGAAATACTTGCCCCACAAGGTTATGCTACTTCTTGCCAGACATTAGAGATGAAATGCACTCAGTTTAAAGATTATATTGTTTTGGTCAGAGAAGGACACACTACAAAGTCAAGCTGTTGAGCTTTCTTCTTACTTTTAGTAAGTCTCTCCTCCCAGAAAAAGAATCAAAAGTTTGTTTTTACATTTCATCCTCATTCTCTTCATTCTTAAACTAATTTAACAAAAGAAAGTCTTCACTATATAGGCAATATTTGGATGCTGTTCATGGTGTTAGTAGGGCTGCCTAGTCGACTAAACTGTTAGTCAATGTGAAGAGAACAACAACATCAAAATTCGTTCTGGAGCTGCGCCCATACTGTCAATGGCTGCGCCTTGTCTCCGGGATGAAAGTATCAGGGGATTGTTGCAACACGGACATTTTGTCTTGTAACACAGGAAGTCACAGAAAGGTGCCCAGAAACGAGACTCCAACTGAATGCTAATGTTGCTTTCTTCTGAACATGCCGGACTGTGTTGCATTATATAGAAAGGTCTTTCCATTGCTCAGCCTGCCCACACTGATATGAATGTGGTGGACAAAACAGTAGAATAACACATATCTCATATAACACAATACAATTCAACAGAACCACACACATTATATGCTCCACGAAGGGAGGATTTATTGCAAGACTGTATTCATTTTTATTGCTAGGTGTATCTACCTGCCCTAGTGAGTATACAAGATGGGGTATTTGGTATTGACCCAAAATAAACTCCAGTGCCCATGTTATGAGGGAACATGTCAACAGTGTGGCTCATTAATGTGTTTTTAATCAATTTTAAACAACAGCAGAGCTCTGTCGCACAGAGGAATCAGATATATCAGGCTTAGGATGCACAGACAACACTTGTTAGAAGGATCAATTCATTGCTTTTTTTTCATTGGATTTGTTGACAATAGTAAATATAGAGTATATAATCAGATATGTCCTTAAAGACATTGACTTAGCAATAATTACACATGCAGTGTGTTTCTGTCTTTTGGGTGCTGTTCAACAACACTGCAGACAGACATTAGTGGTGTAAGAAAATACTGATATACTTTCGCAATATTTGGTTTTGTCATATTGTTTTGACGCTATTAAAACATTTGATTAGACAAAATTGTAATATATTGCCTTACTTTTAGTATCATAATATATAGCTCTATATTGATTCTTAACCCCTGTCTCGTGAAACATATCATATTGCCAGATTTTTGCCAATAAAAGGCCCTATCAGATGTCGTGTTTTCCCACCAAATGCGAGAATAATTCTCTTTTTTTTTCTCTGTCTGCAGACATTTATGGAGGACATTGGTGCAGTTTTAAGTTCATGGAGACTGCTGGCCTATTCAGCAGTGAGCCATCACAGATCCACACTGTGAAGTCAATATGGTGAAATACTGTTCAGGGATGTGACTGCAATACAACATTAGAGGAAAACAGCCTGGGACTTAAACTAGTGGAGGTAAGTTCACTTCCAACTATTGCTATATAGCCTGCTGTGTAGAGCCAGGCCCGCTGTCTATCTAACACATACGTAAAGCACGCTTTTTTGATTTACCCCTTCCCACTAATTTCCTCCGCTATTGCACAAGCTGAACATTCACATGCATTCTCCCTCCGTTATGTTTCTCTCTCTCTCCTCTGTGGTTCGTTGGATAGGCCTGCCACCCGTTACCTCCATCTGCCTGCTGGGAAGCGGAACAAACAGCCATGGAGAGAGGCTTTGGCCACCAGCTCTCCTCAAGTACACAACCAGACAGAGAGAGGGGGAGGCAAACGTGTTGATACCTCTGAGTGACAGAATGTGTGTGCACTCCGGACTGTTTATGGGTCAAGGCTTGGTAGAGACTAAAAGCAGTAGAAATAGCAGAACGATGTGATAGATGTCAGATCTGAGAACCATGTGGACCCTTGCAAGGTAAGACAAGGCACCAATTTCTGAGCGTCACAAAGCAAAACTACAGACAGGATAAACCCTCAGTGATACTTTTAGTCTGGTGTTATTGTTGATCATCTTTACGATCATTAAAATGAGTTTTATGGTGCTGCATTTAAACTTCTTCAAGTCACTGCCATAACAACTAATTTCTATTATTCTATTAGTCCTCACTAGGATTTTTGCTAACAAATAATGACTATAATGGAGCCAAATGCAAGTCTATCTCTCAGGTCCATGGTGATTTTTTTTTCTTTAATTCAAGACACATTTATCATAAACATGCCTTTGCTCTTCAGCACAATGTGTATGTTGTGATTTATCCTCCCTCCTCTCTCATGCTGCTAGCATGGCTAAAAACAGGTTTCATGGTATGTCAAAAATTTTGACTTGCAAAGTCAAATCTTTTATCAGTAGTAGTGTCTTATGATTTTGACTCAGGATCTCAAAAGAATATGTTTATTTTTATCATTCAAAACTTTTTTTTTTCTCCTGTCAGAAATAGTTTCCTTCTCCGTGGGCTTCTGTTTTTCCTTTTTGGCTGTACTGAACAGGATAAACATGACCCAAGGTGAGGCTGAGCATTCAGAAGGATGGTGTGATTTATTTGTTGCATCTATCTGTCTCAACATTATTGTAGTTCTGACTTATAAATGTCGTAATAATACCTGTTGTACCCTCCCTACCTCACGATTCTGCTTCAAATCTGCGACTATTGTTTACATTTCAGTTAGGTTTACAAAAATGAATGGCCTCTCTTCAAGTAGACTGAGTTTTGAATTTTGTCTGGAAAGAAAAAGAGATAAGGAAGAGGTTGCTTTGAGGTAGAAAGTGGAAGACATGGTGGAACTGACTCCATCAGCTACACTAGTTCATGCTTTTCTGTCCAGAGCCAACCAAGTTTCTATTTTTAGAAATGTCATCACAGGATTGAGATGAGTGTAAGAAGCCATGGAAAAGTTGCAGACCATAACTCGCATCACAAGAAGTGGAGTGAGGAGAAAAACAGCATGCATCTGGTTGTGATGTCGCAGCCAATCGTTTCACTGAATTAGGGAGTGTATCTCTCTGGTCTGAAACAACTACTTCAGTGTGTCGGCTGCTAACTTGGCTCCCTTTGCTGACATCATAACTGTGGCTGATAAGGGTCAAACAGCATTACTTTAAACATGCAAGTTCATTTTTGATCTAGGAAACTAAATAACCCCAACTCAATGTCCATTTGCTGCATTTTTCTGGAAAATTTCACTTACATGACATGGTTTTCATCAACAGATGCAATTTGCCCAGCTGTCTTTGAGATCGATCTGTTGAATGAACTTGAAAATGGCCTATTGGCAGAAACATAATCTAATATTCATAGGTATGTTTTCATTAGTGTATAATCACCTGAAAATAAGAAAGTTTTTTTTCGTTACCTTAGAATGAGCAGATGGGCCGGCTCCTCTTATATGGAGTCCACCATGTTGAACCACCATGTTTCTACAATAGCCCAGAAACCAAACACTGATAGGGCCTCCCACATTTTTTTGCCATTTTCGCGACCACCATAATTTCTCCTACACGCTTGTTTGAGTCAAGGGATTTCAGTTGATTGCAATCTGCAATCTCACCACTAGATGTCACTAAATCCTACATACTGATCCTTGAACCCAACATGAGCTAAAAGTCCTAAAAGTGCCACAGATGAAAGCATAACAACTGTGCTCCTATTTCCGTGTATCCATCTCCATGGCACTGATGAAGACCATGTTATGTGACTGAGAGACCAGGAAAAAGCTAGTAAGTCTCAAACTACATTACTTTACATATCACTATACAACACATTGCAAATGTAGACCATGAATCAGAAGTCTCTGTTCTCTAGCCTTTTTAGTCCTACAGTTTCTTTTCTTAGAATGAAAAACATGGTTCTGGCAATATACATAATTTCCCTCATCAAAAGATCAGCCAAGAAAAATATCATTTTATATTGTAAAAGCAATGTTTGAGAATTTCTTTTCTGTATTGCTCACTTATAAAAATGTCACAACTATTTTTGCAGTGACTTAAAAACCCTTGTGGTTGAGCATGAATACTCAATTTATAAATTATGAATTCATTCACAGAATTTATTTAATGAAGCTTAACATTGATCGACGCTTAAGGCAACTGACACAAGCAGATCTCCCATTTCTCTCAACTCGTTTAAACATCCTCATCACTGCATGGTGATGGTTTTAGACAGGCAATATCCCAGATAGGCAATACATCTTTTTTGGAGACAAAGAGCAGAAATGTGTGAGCTTTTACAGCAAATTTAAACTGTTCTGTATATGACACTTAGTTAAGCGTCTTTCTTCTACAGCACATATATGTATGCTAAAACTGAAGATGATAATGATTCAAATTGATTCTGCTGAAACTCTGCAGTCATTTTGGTCACACCTAGATGCTGTGCAACAATAACAATGGCCGCAGTACAACTCCTCAAAAATGGCCAGAGCAGCTCCTGGCCACATCACAAGCTCCATAACCCAAGAGTGACTGTCCCTGGAGCAGGTAGTGATGCAGCACTTTGCTCAGGGACACGTCAACAGGGTGGATGCTTGCCAACCTGAGGCCCAAATCACAAGCACGACACACTGCTGCCTGCCTACAAACCACTGAGCAACATTTATGTGTCATCCAAATAAAATGTCACCTACATTTGTTTTGTCTTGTTTATTCTAATCTCTATTTGTAGTTAAGGTAGATCTTACAAAAACCTTTTGCATGAGGTGTAAGTAGGCGTGGGTGTGAGTTTGTGGTTAGAATTTTGGCTCCAAAAATTGAGAAGTTTGGCACCAAGGACAAACCTTCTCTCTTCTGTTAAGGTTTTCCTGAACATGCACCCAATGAGTTGTGTGATGCTACTGAAGTGGAGATATTTGTGTGTTATACATCTCCACTAAGATGGATGTAATGCTTTAGTGCAGATGAAATTCAGAGTGGCTTCATATTACAGTTTGTGATCTTTCATTGATTATTCATGATTTAATTGATCTTTTCAAGACACTCTTAGACTGCAGCCTTGAAATATGAGATCTTTGGGTGATTTTATGCACCTTACTGTTGTCCAAACACACACACACACACACACACACACACACACACACACACACACACACATCCCTTCACCAACAAACACACTGTGTAAAGCCTGCAGTGTTCATTAGATGGTGGGGTGCAGCAGTAGAGATGCACAGCTGTGCTTTGACAGGCAAGCATATTAAATGAGGAAGGTCTACCTGTGTCTGTGAAGCTTCCTTTTACACCATCTGTTTATTACATCAAGGCGGCAACTTATCAGATCCATATTTACATGAAGTCTCACAGGGTATTACTGTCAGTAAAATGATGTATGTACATATGTATGATGTACTGTAAAGTGACAGTTTGATAGACTTTTCTGTTTCCAAGTGCTCTGTATATCTGTAGCCTAAAAAGTGTGGAATACCTTAATACATCTAATATGAAATCTTATCAAAAAACCTTATCAAATTGCATGTTTTTCCTCTCTCTCTCTCTCTCTCTTTTACACACTTTTTCCTCTCACCTGAACTCTGGTGCAGAGTTGCTCTTCAGTCCATAGAAGCCGGCAGACAAGGTGAGCAGCCAATGGGGCACAAACGCCCCGTGTTCACACTCCAGGTACGGTGCGGACCACTTGATCTGGTTTTTGTCCAGAAGGTAACCTCCACTCTTGGCGCCAGATGTCTCCGGGACTCTTCTGTGCATGTGCGGTCTCCTCCTGTCCCTAAACTCGTTAAACCAGTCGGACTCCGGGCTCCTGCTCTTCAGGTGACGGTGCGCGGCGCTGGACAAGTCCTGTAGCACAACCTCTTTCTCGGTCCTGGTCGCCTGGAGAAAAACGTGCGGCCCCGGCGTCGGCGCGTCCGCGTGGAAGGTCACCACCGCCCTGTGGATTTTGGGGTCCCCCTCGAGGATACTCTGGACCAGCGCGTGGTACCAGTGGATGTCCCTCCGCAGGGTGTGCTCCCTGGACCTGTTGGCCTGCAGGATCATATTCAGGAAGTTTGTGGCGTGCGCCACAGTGTCCAGGATGCTGTGCAGGGAGTAGTGGGAGGCGACATGCAGGCCGCCTCGCAGACTGCTCAGCTCATACCTCCGCGAACAGTTGACCTGCCTCAGCGCCGAGGAGTCCCCGGTGTGCAGGAAAGCGGTCACCACCCTCGGCAGGTCCTCTTCAATTTTGTGCGCCACCACCGCGCGCTCGGTAGCAGGTACCGAGTAGTAGGTCGGGTGGTGGGGCGGCTCCCTGTTGATGTTTTGGGTGCTGAAAACCGGCGGGTTCTTCTCGTCTCGCTCATTATCCGACCACTCCACATAACCGTAGTTTGATCCCAAAACGAGCCCCGTTTGCAGAAGCAGCGGGACGACCAGGAGAGCCATGTCGTTCCTGTTCACGGGCGCAAAGAAGAAACCGTGGGCACTTTGCAAAGTGTGGGGAGCATAACCAAAGCCTCTCTCTTTCTCCTGCTGCTTCACGGGATTAGAGACACTTAAAAGAAGCGCACACCAGAGACTGTCCTCGATTTCATGCCCGTGATCGAGCTGAAAACGACGAAGGCTCTCCACTTCTCATCCTGTGCATCTTTTGTCCGCGCCACAGAACACACACTTTCCCTCTCTCTCTCTCTCTCTCTCTCTCTCTCTCTCTCTCTCTCTCTCTCCCTCTCTCTCTCTCTCTTCTTCTCCGTTTTCTACAATGCCATTATCTGCACACACATACCCCCCAGCCTCCTAACTCGTAAAAAAAACAACAACAGCTCTGACTCCTCACCAGTCCGCAATCCATTCACATGAAGCGACGTTGGAAGCGAGCGCTCACGGTCTCTTGTTACTCCTTCTCGGAGAAATCCATGTGAGAGGAGTAGGATGACGAGGGACGGAGCAAATTGTTCTTGAACTTCCGTCCCTCCCAATAAAACCCTAATAGGCCATCTAAGTGTCGCCCACCGGTGTGTGTGGTTGTTTCTCACTGCCAGTCTGCCGTAGGTGGGCGGAGCGTGGGGAATACGGGAGCTGTCCGGTGCTGAAAGTAGCGCCCGTAGGAAGAAAAGCGAGGGTGGTAATGATGATGGTGATGATGATGATGATGATGATGATGAGCTCTCAGTGATGAGGATGAAGCAGCAGCTTGGCAATTAAACTGAATCTAAAATTAGATTAGAACAGTGTGAGTGAGGGACAGACCAACAAGACAAACATGTTTATTTGTTATACTGAATATCTAATATAGCTACTGTTCTGTGTATACAGTATATGGCCAAAGGTATGTGGACACGTAAACATTACACCCATAACTTATGTTATTGTTTTCAGCTTCTTACTCACGTTTCTTAAAATAAACCCCGAGTTACCAACTGCATTACCATGTTTCCTAAAACAGTACACTCATTTTGATAAACCTTACATGTTCCCACTAAATGAAGCACAGGTTCTATTACAGTATCTATAATTTTGTCATCCTGATTGTCCATGCTGTTATTTTACGATATTGGTCTATTCTGTACACACAACATCTATTGCATGTCCGTCCCTCCTGGGAGAGAGATTCCTCTTCTGTTGCTCTTCCTGTGATTTCTTCCATTTTGTCCCCAGTTGAAGAGGTTTTTGGGGAGTTTTTTTATATGCAAATCCAGGGTCTGAGGATGGAGGGAGTGGTATGCCGTGCAGATTGTAAAGGCCCTTGAGGCAAATTTGTGATTTGTTGGGCTATATCAGTAAAACTTAACTGACTTGACAGTAAACACACCTTCCAAAAAATCAACAATCAGACATGACTACAGTATCCACAGGCACACACACTTACCATAATGATGTAATACACCTCCCTTTTGAAACATAAAAAGTAACACATGCTCTGAACACAACACTAAACAATTTAGAATGTTAATTTGAGTTGGGAACTTTTTTGGATTGATACATATTCGAACAGTGCAACATTTGTGTTTTGAAACTTGAAGATGTAGAAAATACAAATGGAAGTAGAATTCAGTAAAAAAAAAAAAATGTTACATTGTACACCATTACAGTATCTACTAATGAGAATATCAGCCTTCCTACTTTCTGTCGAGACAGTCATTAAATCAGCAATGCAGAGGGTAAACTGTATTGTCATCCTGTCCTTTATTACTGGTGATTAGATGGAAAAGTTGGAGAATACAGCTGTAAATGCAGCAGGGCCATAAAACAAGGTACATTCACCCTAAACATAGTTGGTGCAGAAATAACAGTGGCTGGAGTTGGTATACTTGCACTCATGTCCATGATCAGAAAGCTAATTTGGCTCATGTAGATGACATATGTGAAGAATTTGAGGGAATATCATTACATATTTGTAGGATATCACATAAGTGCGTAAGGGCTCCTTTGTAGCTTCTGTTGCATTACAAAGCTTTGTGTTGGTCTCTCTGTTAGACAAGCACAGAGTGAAGCTCTATAATGTACAGTTCATAAAAGTGAATATATAAAAGCTGATGAAATACACAAGAGACATAGACTTCAAACCTTAGAAACTGCAGGGATCACAAGACTGTTCAGTTGCCACAGAGTTGGTTGTACAATGATGTCTAAAATATTATTGTATGTTGTAGCATTGATCCTTTCTTTAATGTAACTATGGGACCGATTAAAAACACTTACTTTTGGCCATACAGTGAATTATGTTATAAACAAAAACAGTTAAACAGAGATATGAAAACGTAACTGTGGCTTCCTGTATTCAGATACTTTATGAGTCCAACATGTAAGCATTGTTGTTGTGTTTGTGTGAGTCCACCTCAGTCTTACCCTGACATTCTCCAGGGCTCATCAGGAGTCAGGGCCCTGGACTGTAAATGGGTGTGTCGCAGTGTGTAGCTCGCCCGGGGTGACTCGCAGGCCGTTGCCATGGCAGTGGAAGGTGACGACCGTAGAGATCTCCCTGTGCTACCCGCTGCTTGCTGCAGCCAGTGATAGGGAAGGTATAGCCTGTCTGGCCTTGCAGCATCTACAGCTTGACTTAAAGTATCCACCTCTCACACACATTCATACACTCTTCAGTCTGTGTCAGATCAGTCTTATACTTGCACATGTACTAGATAGAACAGATAATACTGACAAGAAAGTACTTGTGAATAACATAAATCACCATCAACTCCCTCATTCGCTTTGTACACAGGCTTGAATGACTAAACAGACTCCAGGCCCAATAAAAAAAGGATGTATGTGGTGGAGTTGGTGAATTAGGCGGAGGAAAAGGGGCAGTACCACGTAGTGAGAGAGCATCAGAGGCAAAGAGACGAGACTGTGCGAAGTGACTGCTCCTGCCCCTTCTATTTCATCCTCTTTTACAAGCTGCACTGCCTCCCCTGGCCTGATGAATATTTGATAGGCATTTGCTGCTTCATCTGCATGCTTTACAACTTGAGTCCGTACAACTGCAACAGAGGTAGAGAGGCTGCTGTACCAGCCCTTCTTTCACCCACGCTCCCCCGGTCCTCCCAGAAGTTCCTTTAGATTTCCTCAGACGAGAGCAAAGGAAGGAAAAAAGGCTTATGAGCAAAAGGGTATTTCCTCTGATGCCTTTACTCTATTTATTTAATTTTTTTGTACATGCAGGAGTCTGATTTGATTTAGAAAAAGTTAAGTTGAGGTCAGTAGGAAGGCCAGAGATCAGTAGAAAAGTTTACAATGTCTTATTTTTAAAAGCTTCAGATATTGTATAGTCTCTTTAATCCAGTGGGAGTAAGAAGGAAGAAGAGGGTCTTTCCATCTGAACAGAATCAGTCGTCTGGCCAGTAGTGTACAAAAGGCCACCACATTGGACTTATAATTACTTAAATTCACAGCCTGTGGAGTGACACCAAATAGAGCAGTAAGAGGGGATGGATCTATTGGCTACAATAATATTTTAGAGAGATTGTTAAAAATTGACAGAAGTGGTGTAGTCTTAGACAAGTCCAAAACATGTGTAATAGAGTTGCAGGAGCTTGCTTACATCGATCACAAGTAGGGTCTAACTCTGGTCCCATTTTGGACAGCCTAACCTTTGACCAGTGAAGTTGGTGCACTATTGTGAATTGTACAACTGTATGTCTTTGACAAATAGATGATGTGTGGATCCTCCTGATAACTTTCTGCCACACTGCATCTGGAATCTGTTCATTTAAATCCTCTTCCCATTTGTGTTTGAGATAATCTAAAGTTGACAAGTTAAATAGATTGAGAAGGCCATATAGCTGACCTATAACCTGCTTTAAGTTTTTCCCCAGTTTGAAAATGGAGTCTAACAAAGATACTGAGGGACATAAGGGAAAGCAATTGGAATGTGAGGCTATAAAATTTCGCAATTGTAGATATCTAAAGAAGTGGGATCTAGGGATATTAAATCTAATAGTACTAGTTGTTCAAAAGATGCAAAGTTATTGTCTACTTAAAGATCCTGTAATGAATGTATCCCACTCCTGAACCACACACCAAAGGCTCCATTCGACATTGAAGGAGGAAATGTGATTTTTTTCGTTATCGGAGCAAAAAGGGAGAAGCTGTTGAGAGCAAATGATCTCCTGAACTGATTCCAGATTTTGACCGAATATGCCACAACAGGGTTAAAGGTGTAATAAGAGATGGGCTTTTACTAGTGGGAGTTTAGTGCACAATAACGCTGATAAGGAAGTATGCTCCAAGATTAGCCATTTATGGGTATTTGAGTTGTCTATATCTGACATCCAAAACAACAGTGCTCTAATGTTGGCTGCCCAATAATAAAACAAAAAATTGGGAAGTGCCGTGCCACCCTGGAGACGCGGTCTATGCAATATGCCTTTCCATATGTGCGTTTTTTTTTTTTTTGTTCCAGATAAAGGTTGATATGAGTTTATCTATGGAGCTGAAGAAGAATTTAGTCTGGGAAGGTTCTGAAACAGATAAAGGAACTTAGGCAATATATTCATTTTGATGGTATTGATCCTTCCACTCAGGGAAAGAGACAACAAATCCCAACGTTTAATATCCTGTTTCAGATCATCTAACAGGGGCAGAAAATTTGCCTTATATAGGTCTTTGAAGTTATGTGTAAACAGATTCCCAGATATTTTAACTTTTTTGCGTTTATTTTAAAAAGGGTTGAATAAAAAGAGATGCTTTCTTTAGATATGTTGACTGGCACTAATTCACTTTTTTGAAGATTTATTTTATAACCTGATATTTTGCCAAAACCTTTCAATGTGCCTAGCAGGTTAGGGAGGCTTGACAAATGATCTTTAAGGTTGTGTTATTAATGAAAAGCTATAATCAAACACAAACTGGAGAGTCACTAGAAATAGAAATCAATTAATGATTTGCCTCACAATTGCTTTTATGTCCTGACTTTTAAAAGTAAAAGATTTTAGATCAAGAATTATAACATCAAGTCATCTGTGATTCATCTAAGATTGGAATATTTATAGGTACTGTGTTACGTTCACTCTCATAACAGCATATTCTGTGCTAATGTGGAAGCTGTCAACATCAGCAAAGCTCTATAAGTAAGACATGTTTTCACATTAAGTTGCTGAAGTCAAATCAACCAGTTTTTTGGTGGTGTAAAATAGAGACAGGCCATCAACATTCAAAGCAAGGAAATAGAATAAGGTTGAAATTAATTATTCTGTTAAATGGCAGTGCTCTGGCAGCCAGATCAACTGCAGTTTCTTGATATAGATGAAAAAGGTTGCTGGAAACTATTAATTTCCCATGGGATCAGCATTATCAACTAATGCTGGTAAAAGAAAATCTATTTCATCTGCAAATATTAGCACATTGTTCCAAATGAATGGTAAGAATGTGTAATAATACAGCATCCTACCAAATGTTGGCAAAAAAAAAATCGACAGACGTGTGTTGTCGTGTGTTTCTGTAGGAGTTTGCATTTTTTTCCCCATATCTTTTCTCCACTTTCCTCCAAACCAAAGACATGCAGACTGATGCAATTGCCTTTAAATTGGTCTCAGTCCATATGTATCAAAGAAAACTGTCCAGTGTTACTATTAATGATTATGCGCATTCTCCTTCCTGTAAGTCGCATGGGGTCCCT